GCCCCAGCGCGCCGCTAGCCGCGCAACACTGTCGTCTGAACTGTTGGGCTCGTGCCCGTCAACGCCCAAGATGCCCACCAGCGAGGCGCGCCTGTGCCTCGGGGGCCATGCCTTCCAAAGTTTGCGTCGCTCCACCGTGCGTTCGTCGTCGAACTGATACTCAGGTGACTCATGCTCACGAAGTCCTAACGCAAGAATGCGCTCCTGAATGATGCGGCTGTGCCAGTGAAACTCTTCCTGGTCTATAATGTGCTCGCGCTGCTCATCGGCGAACTGCGCAATAGCGTCGCATGCTCTTACACACTTGCGCCTGACCGCTTTATGCCCATTCATGCTGGCACGCATACATTTTGGACACGCCATGAGGCGACGCGAGTTTGTTTGAACTCCACATGTACGAACGGGATGTAATCTCGAGGCTGGCCACGCGCATGCACTCCATGACTTCGGCAAAGGCGAGGAGGGGGCCCCGGGCGATCTCAACTGGCGCCCTGGCCTCGTCGATCAGATCTGCGAGCTCGGGGCGCGCAGCCACCCATGCCGGCGCTGCGCCTTGAGACCTAAGCCCAGGTGAATAGCGAACGCGTGCAGGGACCTGTCTCTAGGCTCAGTTTTTTGAGGACGCGCCCGAAAAAGGCTGCTGTCGCCTTAGCCTCGAGAGTGGTGGCTGTAGAAGCAGACGTGTCTATTCGATCAATTCGCCCAAGAGACCTGACCCCTTCCCCAGGGTCGCCAGACCGACGAGTGGGCTCGTCCTGGGCAAACTCGAGCACAGCTGGGAAGAGCCATCGAAAACGCCGACGTAGAGCTGGTCTGGTCGCATAGGCTCGCCATCTGTCCTGGGGCGGGTCTCGCCCGATTCGAGGAACATAAAATCACCCGCCAAAAAAGTCAGACAATAACTGCCGCGGGGAAGGGTGGGCGCGACTGCCCCCATGGCAACAGACTTCTGGGGTTCGCTGAGGGCGGGGTCGAGATGTGCAGCGCGCGCATTGAAATCTCCCAGAAGTCCTTGGAGTAGGAGAAAAAGAAAGAGGGAGGGAGGGGGCGGGGGGGGGGGAGGGGGGGGGGGGGGAGGGGGGGAGGGGGAAAGGGACTTGGTGAGGGAGGGTGGAGGGAAAGGAGGGGGGAGGGGGGGAGGGGGAGGGAGGGAGGGAGGGGAGGGAGAGGGAGGGAGGAGGAGGGCGGGAGGGGCGGCGAGAGCGAGGGAGAGAGAGAGAGAGAGAGAAGAGAGAGAGAGAGAGAGAAGAAAAAAAGAAAAAAGAGAGAGAGAGAGGAGACGGCCAAGAACAAGCTCGCAAACTTCCGCAATGATCAAGAGGGCAAGAATGGAGTTGGCCATGCTGATAAGATTGCCTCCAAAATGCTGGTTCTCACAGAGGGGGCCATAGTGCGCGCGCGTGGTGAAGTCTCTTCGAAGGGCCACGAGATCTGCTTCAGTTTCATGTGTTCCTTGCATGGGCACAACCGCGTGCGATTTGATGGAAAGGGGGGGGGGGCGGAACTTGCGAGCTCGACTTCTCTGCCGAACCGGGCCACCGCACACGCTGCCAAAGAAAGATATTGAATTCCATGCGCTGCTAGGGAGATGCCGCTTGATCTGCCGCGGGCATGCAATGCGAATGTCTGCGCTGCTGCCAAGGGGGGGGGGGGAAGAGCTGCACTTGAAAAATCGCTTCCCAGGGACCCGATTAAAAGGAGAGGAAGTGTGAGAGAGAGAGAGAGAGAGAAAAAAAAAAATGGAAGACTGAGAATGAGGGAGGAAGAGAGAGAGAGAGAGAGAGAAACTGGCAGACGATGCAGCAGTGTGAGCAAAGACAGGTGCGGGAGCGGCGTCACTTCCAGCAGAGCACTGCGCTGGATATACCCATTGATGGCATGCAGCGTACACCCCAGCGGGCAGGTCCTGGATCTGCTTCTCGGTGAGGCCGAAGTGGAGCAACTCCTGCTTGCAAGTCTCCACAACGACCTCAGTCTCATACCACGAAGCTGGTGCCACTGGGTCAATGGACTCGTCGCGCACGGTGGTGTAGCACAGGCCCTGGTACTTGTTGCAAGCCAGCGTAGTAGTGTATGCCAGCAATTGTTCGTGCGCGCGTCGGCATTGATCTGCTTCCAGATGAGTCCGAGGATGAAGTCCTTCTTCTTGATATCGCATGGATCGTCGCAGCCGACCCTGAGGTCGTGCTGGGTGCCCGTCGACGCTTGAGTGAAACGAATCGGTTGATCTCGGTAATGCTCATATAATGATGCGGCATGCTCCTGGTTCTCGAACTTGATAGCATATGCAAACCGAAGGCCTTGGCACATCGCAACATATGTGCCGCGGTAGTCCGCAGGCATGGATGTCTTCAGGATGGAAAAGTGACGCCCGAAGACACTTTTCAGCTGCTCCATTGGGAACCCACGGATCCATATTTTCGTCGTGTCTGCAGGTGCCGTTGGCCTCACCGTCGCCGAAGGAGCAGTAGAGCCCCCGGAACGAGCCGACGGAGTAGTGGAGCCGCCGATCGCAGCCCAAGGATCAGAGCTCCTCCGCTGCGCTTCGATCGTGCGATGGAGCTCTGCGTTGTCCGTCTCGAATGTCTGCAGGCGCGCGGATGCCGAGTACGTGCTGGCCAAGCCGCCGGCCTGCGCCATAGCTGCATCTCCATCCCGCTGTTGCCCGCGAAGCTGTAGTTCGACTTCGTCCATGCGCTCACTGTGTGACTGCAACTCCCCTTTCATAGCGGCGGCGGAGTCTGTGTTCTGCTTGACCCCTTTCAGAAAGCCTTGTGTCCATCGATCTGACAGCCGAGATGTTCGTGATGATCGCCGTCTGCATAGCGTCCATCTGCTCATTGAGCGGTCTGGGCGCCTCAGTCAGCATGAGCCTGAGAGAAGCCGCATCTAGTCATCGCTGGCCCTTGGACACTGGAGCAGCTCTGAGTGAATGGGTTCGCGCTTTGGCGCACGTCTGGATAGAGTGAGGCCTGACCCCGTAGTCTCGGGCCTCCCTGTCGCCTGCAACAAGGTTCTAGCCCCAGGGTAGGCTAGAGCCTTGAGCCAAAATGGCTACGGATGATGATAATTATAATAACGACGACGACGACGACGATGATGATGATGATGATGCTGATGATGATGATGATGATGTTGATGATGCCGATAGTGGTGACGTTTGTAATGATTATGATGAAGGTGATAGTGATGGTGATGTCGATGATGACGATGCTGATGATGATGATCAGGGGGAATGAATATGATGATGATGTTGATGCTATATAATGTTAATCATGGGGAGGATGTTGAAGATGGTCATGCGAATGATGATGATGATGACGATGATTCATGGTGCTGATGATGAGAGTTGTGATGATGATGATCATCATACTAATGATATTGACGGTGATGATGATAATGGTGAGGTTATGGGGATGATGACGATGATTATGATGATGCTGATGCTGATGCTGATGTTGATGCTGATGATAGTGATGGTGATGGTGACGATGGTGATGGTAGCGGTGGTGGTGGTTATGGTGAGTGTGATGCTGATGATGATGGTGATGATGATGGTGGTGGTGATGATGCTTATGATGATGATGGTGATGGTGATGATGATGCATCTTCACCTCACTCTCCCTCTCCGTTCATCTCTCTACCTCTCCCTTACGACCTTCTCCAGGCTTACAGGCTCAAGCCCATCTATCAGATGCGCCCGCCGCTGCCAGCGAGCAATACTTCGAACGGGCAAGCGTGAGAAATGCGAAATGGCAGGCGGCCCCAAGGCTCCCTTCTCCGAGATCTGTCCATGGTACGTGGTCAGGACTCAGTCCCACGCACTGTAGCAGATTGCAAACCATGCTTCAACAGTCATCCCGCCTGACGACGCGGTCCAGTCCGAAGCGGGGGGGATGTCTGGCGTTGCTGGAAGGCGTGGATGGGGTGGGGGGGAGCATAGGGTCAGGTCGGGCATGTCCCCCTACATGATGATTTTGGAGGAAAAACAAAACATCATCAAAACAAACATACGAAAATGATCAGAATTGATCGAGAGATTGTCCCCCTATTGTTGAATATTCCTACTGTCGAGGGGCATGCCCGACTTAAGCCTGGAGCTCGCTCCCCACACGGGCCGACTCCGACAACGTGCTCCGCGCGCTCCCCTTCTGGGGCCGCCACCGCGGAGCGGCGAAGCTGGCACAAGCCTGGGTCGGCCAGGGCCCTGTCGCGAAGCCCGCCCGGCCTCCTCGTAGCTCCCAGACCCGGGTCAGAGGGGACGGCGGGCGGAAAGCCCCACGTGGGTCCCCAAACCCACGTCAGCCAAAGAAGATTGGCGGACCACGTTAGCGCTGACGCCCGTTACGTGAGCCCCGACGGTCTCCCCTGGCGGCGCCTCTGGCGCAGCCCCTCGCGCGCTCCGCGAGCCAGGGAAGGGAGGTCCAACCCCGAACCCAAAGATCTGGGCGGACCTCCGAGAGTGTCTATCTTGATGCTGCTTTTGCTTCTTCGACCCCCGCCCTCCCTCACATTCCCCTTTCGTTGCTGTCCTTATCTGGAGGGCTCCCACATGGGGTCCGAGGAGATGGGGTCGGAGGATTGCGCTTCATCGCCGGGGCATCGACGATGCGTCAGCGACGTCGGCGATGCATCGGCGACACTGGCGAGGAGAAAGTCGGGCTCCACATCGGACCTCATCGCCGATGAATCAACGATGGCACGATCCTCCGACCCCATCTACTCGGACTCCATTTGGGGGCCCTGGAAATCCTCAAACTTTCATCATTGATCCCCGATGAATTCCAAGACATGTGATGACCTGATTTGTCAACACGGGGTCCCCAGACGTCCCGACCCTTCCTTAGGGCCGGGTTCTCGTCCCGAATATTTGTCTGACGGTCCCGCGGACCAGCGAGACCCAGGAGACGGAACACTACCATTCCAGAAAAGCCAAAACTACGAAGACGCGATAATTTTGGAACTTCGATCCTCGACCTTCGCTGGAGAAGGGGGGGAGCCTTTCGGCCCCGATGCAGTCCGCCATGCGGCGGCATACCTCCAGGGTGGCCTTCTGCGAGAGGCCGACCAGCCGCGGCAGCGCCTGGGCCCACTCCTGTCGCGGCGGGCCCAGAGACCCGCGCCTCCGACGTCTCTCCAGAGAGCAGGCGCAGAAGGGACCGGTTGGAAAAATGTGCCCAGACATGGTTTCCCCAGGGGCCAGCCAGGGAAGCACCACAACGCTTTGGGCCAGAATTTTGAGGGACCTGTGAACTCGAGGCCCAACCACACCAGGCATAGATCCCCCGTCACGCTGGGCACGCGAAAAAAACAGGAAGACCACGTCATTGGATATTTCCTGAACCCGACCATACTGCACGTACAATGGCTGCCTTTTGCAGCTTCAAACAAGCAGCAACAGTAGCCAGCGGGGACTCCAAACAGCAAGCTATGTGGTATAAATGTGGTGCAATATACGTGGTGCAAAATAATTGCGGCAACGAAGCCGTAACGGGCGGCATCGTGGCGAAACCTCGCCAACACCTACCACCGCACGTGGCGGCAACGCGGCGGCAACGGGCGGCAACGTGGCGAAAACTCGCCGACCCATGGATTTCCTTCGTAATCGAGAAGATGACCCCGAACAACCGATGAAAAAAACATAACTACACGCACTGTTCGGGGCAAAACACAAGAGGTCATTGTGTATGGTTCCACCCATCCTGCCTTGGATTTTCGTTTTGAATAGAACACTACGGTCGCGACCTCCTCGTCCTCATCCCGCCTCCCTCCTCTTTCCCCTCCTCCTTTCCCCTCCGGCCTTCGACCTGGCTTGCACCTGCGTGCCAGCCTGCCTCTTATCTCGCCGTCCTAGGTTGTACCTCACCATCCCTGGGGGGCGACGGATTGGAAAAGAGTCTCCACCTTCGAAAAGTGGCGCCACACGGCAAACCCATGTTTGACTTCGCCATCCCTGGGGGGGCTGCAGTATGCGAAACAGTCGCCCCTTTTTCGGGGGCGGCTGGGGGTCCAGCGGAATGAAGTCCCACGGCATGCCCAATCTTAAGCCTCGCAATATTTGGGGGGCTGCGATCTGCAAGACTGTCGCTACAATCGATGGCTGGTGGGGGGGTCCAGCGGAGTGACGCCCCACGGCAAACACAGACTAGACCTCGCCATCAATTTGGGCTGAGATATTCGACACTCTTACCCCTTTTTCGAAGGTTGGGGGGTCCATTGGGCGCCCTACGACAAACCCAGATTTCACCTCGCCATCCCTCGGGAACCTCGATATGCGACAACGTCGCCGCATTCAAGGTATGCTGGAGGGTCCAGCGGAGTGATGCCCCACGGCAAATTCATACTAAACCTCGCCATTTCTAGGGGGCTGCGATCTGCGAAGGTGTCGCCACATTCGAGTGTTGGCGGGGCCCTGCGGAGTGACACCCCACGGCGAACCAAGATTGAACCTCGTCGCCCCGCGGGGGCTGCAATATGCGAAAGCGTCGCCAGTTGCGAAAGTTTCTGGGGCTCCACTGGGGTGACGCCCCACGGCGGGGTTTGTTTAGACCTCGCCATCATCGGGGCTGCGATATGCAAGTGCGTCGCCAATTTCGAAGGCTGCTGGGGGGCCGAGCAGAGCGACGCCCCATGGCAGACCCATACTAGAACTCGGCATCCTTGGGGGGCTGCGATCTGCAAAACCGTCGCAACTTACGACAGACTGACGCCTCACGGCAGACCCCGATTAGAGCCAGCCGCTCGATTGGACATCGTAAGTCCGAAGCGCAGGCAGCGTGGGCCGAGCAACGTCCAGCGTACCCGCGGCGCCTGCCGCGCGGCGCCCAGGCGCGCGTGGAGAAATACAAGACCGGCACCTGCGGCAAGAAGCTCGCGGAGCTCGATCGCAGCACCGACGCCGCGGACGCGGCGGGCCCTGTCTCCATCGAGCCGCAGACTTCGAACCCGCTCACCTTGCGCGAGCACGAAGTCACGCGCGCCGGCCTGGCCATCTCCCACGCCGAAATCCTGGCGTCCACGACCTGCCAGGGCCGGGTCATGCACCGCAGAGTGATTGTCGACGCCGGGCGCAAGGGCGCGGAGGACCTGGACGCCCTCTGGCTGTACCTGTACGCGATGCTCTCCAGGGCGGCGACTGCGGACAACCTTCCGACGCTGTTGCACGACCCTGCCGTTGTTGCCAATTCCCGCGGGGCCGCCCGCAGACCAGGCGGCGCGCCTGCGGGCGCTTGGCCCCCGCGCTGGAATGCGCGAAGGAGGCGAAGTAGCTGGCGGGCGAGCTAGGCCTCGCTCGCTTCTTGCAACAGCTAAGAATAACTATTCCCGTGGAGCGCCAAAGAGACATGGCGCGGGCCGTGATTCTTTCCGCCGACTCCCTGCTGCGGCCGCGCTGACTTGTCAGAAGGCCCAACAAGCCCAGGAGATCCCCCGAGAGGTCCCCAAAATATCGCCAAAAAGCTCCTACAAGCCTCACCGTGGACTTCTTCCCACTCCTGGTGGTCGGCGGAATGGCGCAGGCATTTCCAAACGGCGCTGGCGCGGATAGCGACGTTCCGGGCGCCCCCCCCTTCCCACGCCTGGTCGCGCCAGGGAAGACCCCCGCCCTCCGTCCTCCACGACCAGACGCGGCGCCCAGATGGGTCTCGCAGCGCGCCTTTGAGCAGGGTAGGCGGCGCAACCCTTCGATCGGGCCCGCGCCACGTCCCTCGCCGCCCGCCCCCGCTCACCCGCAAAAACGTCTGTCAGCGACAAGACAACGAAATGCCCGAAAACGCGTCGAAGCCAACGCCGACCAACAGCCGCGGAAACAACCCGAACTGAAAGCGCGAGATGCCAGCGGCGGAAGGCGCAAAAAACAAGCACTGCCCCGGCGACCGAGCTGAGACTTCAAGGCCACGAAGGCCGCGCTCAGCACAGGCAAGGCACAAGACTCCTGAATCGAACTCGAAAGAATGGGCGACATGCCTGCGCCCCCCTGAAGAGGCCACCCGCGAATGTGCAGCATCGGCACGCACAAGGGTTCGAGAGGTGGGGACGGGCGGAGGTGGCTCGACCGAGAGAACAGAGGCCCGAGCAGGCTGCTTGTCCTCTCTCTGCGTAGGACTGACGCGCCCACAATCGGATTCGGCAAAACAAGCCTCGACCTAGCCGCCCCCCCCCGTCTAGTCGATCAAAGTTTTGGCTGTTCCTATAGGCATGTTTGTAGGGCTGATCAATCTTGACTCGCGAGGCGAACCATTGCGTCCACGAGTCTGCTTTATCATCGCCAGCCTTCTCAAAATCACACTGAGCCGAGCTGCAGCTGTGCGCGCGCGCAATGTCCCTTGACCTTCTTCAGCGACACGGGTGAAAGGCCTCCCCAGTCATGACCTTCCTCCAGACAACGCGCCACAACTCCGACCAGTCGCTGCGAGAGCTGCAGCATTATCGCTGTCCTCCGAAGTGGAAACCCTCATCGACAACGGAAAAGTCAGCGCACACTGCGGAGCCTGGGCACGCACGCTGGAGCACGCGATACAGGGCAAGAGCTCAGCATAATCAATGTCCTGCCAGAGATCACACAGCGCACCACACGTGATAGGGAACGCGCGGGCGGGCGAGCAGCTGGTCGATCCAGCTGCCGCCCAAGAAGATGTGTCCCGGCCTGGCCCCGGGGCCTCCCGCGAACCACCTGTCGGGGACAGACTCGAAAGACGGGGGGTCAGCAGGCAGCAGCAGCAGCCCCCCGGCAGAGAGAAGCTGGAAAAGTCTGAGTGGAGGCGCGCACGAGGCACCGATGCAGTGTGAAAGTGTCCTACCCTTGTATAGCCTTCTCGCGCAGCCCACGCGCATCGTGCCCGCGCAACAAAGTCCCAGGGGATGACCCGCAAGCCATGCGCGGGGGGCGGTCCCACAACGTGGCCCCCCGCGGCCTGCGCGGAGGCTGCCGACCCCCCGAAGCCACGCCCTCGACGCTCCGGGGGCCCAACGGGCAAGAGAGAACGAAGACTTCCGAGCGGCGCAAAGTGGCATCCATTTTGAGCGCGTTTCTTCATGTTCGGCGCTGACGGGCGTCATGGGGGGAGGGGGGGCGGGAGGGGGTATGACGAAAACGCCCCCCCCCCGCCGCGCGGCTCTGGCACGACAGCCGCTCCCGCGCGCACGACGCGACGAGCGACAAGCGGCGACGACGACGACGACGACGCGAGCAGCATGTAGGTGGCGATCTGCCCCACTGCGCCTGTGTACGCCACAACGCTCGCGTGCACCACAACCCGCGTGTACACCACAGCGCCTGCGTACACGGCAACAACCGTGTGCAAAGCAACGCTTGTTCACACCGCAATGCCTGCATACACTACAGCGCCGGTGTACATGTGTACACCGCAGCAACCATGTGCAACACAGCGCCTGTGTACACCACAGTGCTTGCGTGCACCGACCGACCGTGCACGCCACAGCGCCTGTCTACACCACAGCATCCGCGTGCAACGCAGCGCTAGTGTACACCACAATGCCTGCGTGCATGGGACCGGTAAAAGGAGCACGTACGTGAGGATATGCTGCGGACAATTAAACGCCACGCCAAGAAAGTGCTGATAACCGAATGCGAAACTATTCCCTCGCCCCTCCTCCTCCACCTCCACCTCCTCCTCCTCCCCCTCCTCCTCCTCCTTCTCCTCCTCTTCCTCCTCCTCCTCCGTACCCCCTGTTGCGCGGTCTGGCGCTACACCGCACGTGCGCATCTCAGCGTGCACCGCAGAATTATCTATTGAATCGGTCCACTTGGTTGTCGGACGGCCATTTTCGCTGGAGCCACCTGGACGCAGATGGGAGGAGTTACGGTGATGCGAGCGGACTCGGGGGGACTCGTAGATTCCAGCGGCGATCTTTTGTCCAGAAGGATTCCTACTTTATTTTTTCTGTGGAACCCACAAGCGTTCCATTTTGTCATAAGGATTCCTTCGAACATTATATATATACAACCGTGGTGTTGTGTTGCACACGGTTGCTGTGGCACACGCAGGCGAAGTGGTGTACGCAGGCACTGCGATGCACGCAGGCATTGTGGTGTACACTGGTGTTCTGTACCTACGGCTGATGTGGTGTACGCAG